TCAACACCGTGTCTAGGAAGATATTTTAGAGCACTTTGTGCTTCCGTTTGCTGATAACTTGTCTGGCAGGACTTAGCGCCTCCATATATTGTCGAATAACTAGAAAACGGTTTGCTGACTGTTGTCAGACTGGACCTGGAAGATTAGAAACAGCCAACCTTAAAATACAGACATGCTCTTCATAAGTTGGACGTTTGAGAAATCAGTTTTACCCCGGTTCTTTTATTCGTCGAAACTTCCAGAGACGGCACCGGGACTCAGTAGTCATTTCACAAAACCTTTATTCATCTTCATTTAAGCATGCACTTCTAGAAGGGAAGACGAGGCCGGTGTCCCTCTCCAAATCTTCACCCCTTTGTTAGTTACAGCCAGCTTTATAGAGGCGTCCCCATCATAAAACCCCCCACGGTGTGCTGCAAACTCTGTCTGTGTCTATGTGCACGAGCACATGAATGCCTACAAGTGCGCGTTCCCGCGTGTCTATGTGAGTGCTCGTGTGTGACTGTGTATGCATACCTGTGTGTATGTATGAGTGCACATGAGTGAGTGTGCGTGTGGATGTGTGTGCGTGACAGTTAAAACACTGTGGGTGTAGGTGACTCCCTAGGTCATAAAACCCATCTCTCTTCCAGACGACAGTTATCCAGTTACAAATGTTGAGACCCCCACCCAAACATCCTCTGGGGAAATTCCACTCAGCATTAACTCCTCTCTGTTTTACTCTCACAGTTCAAGTGGGGGAGGGGTCTCCTACAATCTACTCCTAAGTTCACGACACAGTGAGGCCTTTATTATATTGAGGGCAGTGTCTCTACAATAGTTCTACATTCTATGTTAACACATTTCTAAACTCTAAAATCAGCTAAACATTCTACAATTACATATCCTTTTTTGATGGATTCTAATAACTTGATGCCTGGATTTCAGATTTTTCCTAACCTGTAAACCACCATCATTCAAAGTAAAGCAAAAAAAGGGGATTTACACAATATATGAATAAATGTGAAAGTTTGCCTTTTTAATTGAATTGTGAAATAAATAAACTTTTCATGGTTTTCCAAATTCTTTTGTACTATGTATGAACTAGTAAAGCACCTTCAGATGACTCTAGCCACATAAATACCAGCATGTTTAGAGGCTTACACCTTCTCTTTGTTAATCTTCTTCATTACGCTCGGCTTCCCTTCATAATTCATTAAACTTTCATCTAATCTAAATGAAAGTTGATCCGACCTCATCACACCGCAGCTCAGGTTTAACCGAGCGCATATTTGGTTAGTGTTTAAACTAATCTGAGACCTTTATTTGTCCAGAGGGAAGGCTCCAGAATCAACAAGATTAAAGCGGTTCCTCTCATCGTTACACGGTAATACATTTATCATTCATTATTAAGGATGAGCTGCCCGAGTCAAATAAATGAGGCGCCGACACTCGTCGTTTATAAGAGGGTCACCTTTATTGTCACAAAAACACAACAGGATGTACAAAAGCAGCAACCTTTTTCATTCGGTTGGTTTTTCTCACACGAAGCAGCAACTTTTAGCTTCCACACACAAAGTTGCGCAGTGTTTTTGCACTGTTTAGTTGGTCTTTAGTTATACTGACTTTGTAGTAGTTTATCATTCTTCTTCACGATTCACAAACAACACTTACCCCACACAGCAAGCACCACTCATCATTTAGCTGATATACAATATCGTTCATTTCTCTGAAGGTATAATAGTCGTGTTTTTTCTTTTCTTTTTTTTTCTCTGGGGGCTTTACTTTGCCATTTGGAACATAATACAAAAATCTATGTAACTGTACAATTTTTGTTTTACTCTATCATACACTCACAAGTATACACAGAATTTTTGACAAGAAAATGAGACCTCTGTTGACCCAGCGTGCAGATTTCCAGGAATGTATACAGTATGCATGCCATTTTGGAGAGTTTTTTCCTCTTTTTTTAATTCCTTCTATAAAAGTTTCACATAAAATCCATTTTGTTATATATTATCTGGGTTTATATACATGATTTGAACACCCACAAATGGTTTGAACAATCACACATTCATCAAGAAACCATCGATAAACAGTTTGAATTGTATCATCTGTGTAGTGTACGCACACTATTGGTTATAGTAGAGGAAAACAGCTACAAAATGAGGCCATCCTATCAGAGAGGTGATTGTTTCATGTGCTTTCTATACATGTTCCTGCCCACCGCGAGCATCTGGCGCCTCTCCTGGTCTCTACGATACAATGTGTTAATGGTTTGTTTCATGGTTAGCAGAAAAAATAAAGAAATCTTTAACGCAGAAAAATAAAAATTTACAGAATAAATGTGTTAAACGTGCGTATGAATCCTCTTCAAGTATAAAAATACAAAAAAAGCTTGATTATATAAAACATAGATGACACTTTTTTCTTTTTTACATGTTCTCTCCCAAATTTAAACTAAATGATTGTTAATATACATACAATATATCTGAAGTGGTTTAGGTTATACTTTAACTGCGTGCTAGCTTTTAATGCTATTTCTGACACTACTAATACATTCCATAAATGTATTAACTATATAATAAAATGTCTGCTTGTAATTTACTGTGTGCCGGTGGTATAAATACACAGTCAGTGTCAGATTTCCCTCCAGCAAGATGTCACGCACCGCGTCGAGCACCGGGTGCGCGCAGGATTATTTATCTTGTCACTTCAGATTCGGTTTACATGACACCTTTCATCTCAGCTCGCTGCATTTCTGCGCTTTAATCCAAACTCGACTTGTCACATTCATTAAAACTTTTATAACACACTGATTTGGGAACGGGTTAAACTCTGACAACACACGTGTTGCAGACAAAAGGTAAGGGTAACACGATTCGCTGTGTCCCAGTTTCACACTTTCACACACCTGCGAAGAGGAGAGTTTATTTTAGTAATGATCATCATTTTCATCATTTTATTTTTGACTGGAGTTGCAAATATTTCGCATTGTTTATTTTACAAATGGGAGTGAATGAGTGGGAGTGGCTAAAGTCACTGGGCGTGTGACTTAGAAAAGGGGGCGTGGTTAGAGAGGATAAAACTCGCAGTATGCATGACTAGTTAAATAGTAAAAGTTTAAAAAAGTAGTAAAAGTTTGTTTGTTATGCATCACTTTGTAGCTAACTGTTGGTCACTCATCGTGGACGTTCCAAGCACCCAAATCTATCCTCCCTCACTGAAAGCTCTGAAATTTTTATGGTTCTGTTGCTTTGTTACTGCTTATCATATAAATTTCGGCATAGTCACAAATTTTAGGTTTTTTTGCCCTGTCTTTTTAAGCTTTGTTTGTATATTCTTGTTCAAAAATCCCCCAAAGCAGCATTTTTTTTACTGAGCGTAAAAGTTATTTTTTAAGGTAGCTGAGCCGGTGCGAAGCTGGGACACAGGTATTGTGTTTAGCTGTTAGTTATGGTAAAAGATGGATTTGCGACATACATGTTAGAGGTGAAATCCTCGCACTGCTTCACAACGCAGGTCTGGAGCCGATGGAAAAACCTCCAAATGTGCAGAATAAATTTTACCCTTTTAATTTGGCTCCTTAATGTGAAAACGACCTCTACAGCAGCCGAGAGAGTCAGACAAATTACGCTAATGACAAAATGTCACACCTTCAAGGTCTGAGCTAGGATTTAGGAGTCCAAAACCAGAACGATCCGAGTACTCACTCCTCACGTTATTAGTCCAGCTGAGGCCTGAGAGACCTGAGAAGCAGACAGAGAATGAAAAAAGGCAAAGCAAGGAGAGAGAGGAGGAAGAAAGGAGACTGGCTCACGGACCAAAATGATGTGCGAAAAAGCAGCGAGAGGAAAACGTCAGCGAAACTGATGGTGATGTGGTGATGATGATCGCCCAGATCAATGAGCGGCGTTTCTGCTGTAGCGGTGACAAAAGCTCAGCACTGCCCCAAAAAAGCAAGCAGAGAGGGAAGATTCGGGAGCAAAGGAAGAAAAAATTAGAATGGAAACGAGAAGCGGTGAAAGGGAAGGGAAAAAAGAAAAAAAGACAAAAATCAAATTTTACAAACAGACAAATGTATTTCAAGTTTCTGTTAAATCATCCATGATTTATGATCTCCTCCACCGCCCCTTCCCCCTCCCTGTCCCCCTCCTGCGCTACCACTACTTTCCGCTTCGATGTGATTGGCCGCCGGGGACGTCAGGTTTTTGGTGCATCGGCGTGACAGCCCTCGTGCTTGTGGGTAGACTAGAGAGAAGAGTGCGAAGCTGTCGCTGGGCTGCAGACGGGCAGAAATGATCACAGAGCTGCTGCTGTCAGAGACGAGGGACAGAAAATCTGCCCTTATTCAGCTCTTCTTCCTCTTCTGTGTGTGACGCAGTGACAGGAGGAAGAGGAAACGGGAGTGGAAGGAGGATGAAAAGGAGACGAGGAGAGAAAACAAGAAGACGACAAATGACGAGGGGTGACAAGGAAAGGAGGAGTGAGATTATGACACAAGGAAACAAATGCATCAGACAAGAAGGACAGGGAGGAAGAAGACAGGATGAGCAGAGAAGCTAAAAAAGGAGAGGAGAATAAACAGCAAGGGGAGACAAGAGTAGGAAACATTGAGAGGAGAAAAGGAGAGGTAGCCAGGGATGAGGAAAGAAGACGAGGAAGAAAGAGATGTAAAAGGCAAGGGAAGAGGAAGTGGGGACAAGAAAAAAGGAAAGATAAGAAGTACAAAATAGAGGAAACAAGAAGGGCAAGATCAAATGAGGAATGAGGGAGAGAAATATAAAAGAAAAGGATGGAAAGGAGATAAGGAAGGAAACAAAAAGAAGAGATAAGGGAGAAAGGCATGAGTGAGAATAAAGATAGGAAGGGAAAGGAAGGAAAGGATAAGGAAACATGGGAATGAGGCCGATGGAATAACAGGTTAAAACAGATTGAGAAAAGATGGAAGAAAAGGAAAGCAGAGAGAAGAATGGGAATGGAAGGAGGAAGGAGAGGAAGAAATGAGTGGGAATGAGGAAATGAAAAATGAAGAAGATACGAAGGGGAGATAAGGAAAGAGGAGAAGAAATCATGAGGGAGATAACGAAGGGATGGATAAGGATAGGAACGACTGGACGAAGAAAAAAGGGATGAAAGGAAACGTAATGAAGAGAGTGGAACAGTGGAAAAAGAAAAGGAGACAAGCAGAGGAGACGAGGAAAGGAACGATAGGAGGAGGAAAGATAAGGTGTAGCAGAAGCAAGTTTTCCTCTGACCACAGCTCTGTATTAGCCGGGGCTCTGGGGTGTTCCTGAGAAAACATTTATGTTTCTGACCTGCTCTCACTTTAAACACCTCGCCTTCAGCAGCAGCAGCAGCCTCTGCAGCTCCTCTGTGTGCCAAGTAAATAAACCAAGTGGAAAAACAACCAGCGGCTGGCCGTCCCCCGGCCCCCTCTGCTGCCACTGCTAATGAACGGCTCTGCACATGAGTGGGCTACAGATTTTCCCTCCCATTACACCTCTATGAGCCACACACGGCCCGAAACGGTCTGTCCACCCAAATGTTCGGCCGGCCGAAAGACAAACAAGTTACGTTCAGGAAGATTGACGATGGAGATGGTTTACCGCACTGGGTGTGTAAAGAGAGATTTGATGCATGTGCCAAGAACGTCGTCGCGACTCTTGTTTACCTGATGGATGGGTACTCGGTGCGTACTTGAGTAGCAGCAAACTTAAAGGACTTCTGGTGTTTTCTAGAATTATCTCAACGTTTGGCCACAGACTGTATATAAAAGATGCCACCAAAGGAGGCATAATCTGGCAGCAAGAAGAAGCTTGAGATAAATCTGCTTTCTCTGTTAATATATGACTTCTTTAAACACCTAACTACGGTTGCGCTGGGAGGTCAAATGCAGTGCAACGGAAGAAAACACCAGCAAATGGAAAAATCCGTTTAGGCCAATAAAAGGCTGGTTGGATAAAACGTGTGAGTGCTGGTATTGTCTGTAACCTTGTTGGAACGGGGCGTACAAAGGGGGAAGAATCCAACTCGACAACAGCTTAAGTTCAGCAATAAAAGAAAACTGTTTGTGGTGACAAGGTGCTGCCTGGAGCCCCGGGGGGGACACAGGTACATCTGAGGCGCTCTCGGGAACAAAAGGACGAGCAGAGACAGACGCACCGCCCAGGCTCCGGAGGGGATTTTTAAAAGCGTACCGCCTCCTCTACGCAGCACAGCAGCTTCTCCGTCAAACTGAAGAATGCTAAACAGCAGCCGATACCACAAGAAAACCAAAACAGTGAAGCAAAAGAGTAAATCTAGTCAAGAAGAGATCAAATATGTTGCATCGCTTCACATTATTTTGGCAGATCCCGATGCCTGACACTCTGAATCTAAAAGCATTCGTCTGCCCGAAGCAACATCACACCAGTTCAGCTGATGGAGACGCGGGCATCATGTGAAGTTTACCCGCCTACAGCGGCAGTGCAGCAAAAACAGAAGCAGCGTGGGGAGGAAAACGGTTTAACTTTCCTCCTTTTCACCTTCATAACTTTACACAGCAGATCCTTCAGACTACCTAAAACTGCAGAACTGGACGCTTCATCTTCAAACTGCTCTTTCAACTGTCTTGTTCTTTTTAATTTTCAAGAGAATAAGCCTTATTTTACAACTGCAGCTTATGGGGAATTGGTTCCATCTGTCTGAATACTATTAACACTCATCACATTAACATGTAAGCCAATATAATAAAATATAGACTTTAATAGATTTAACTATGTGATTTAAGCATCGATTCACTTTTTAAAAGATGTAATCGCAGCTACAGAGAGCTGCTAAGCTAGTTAGGTCGGCTACAGTTTGATTCATCTGGATGTCTTTATTTTGCTGTTTTATTTTCTTTAATGTGCAAAAATTCCATATTTGCCAAATACTCTCGAACTTATAATGTGGCTTTGAAGTCATGTAAATTGCTCAGTGTTTGGCAAAAAAAAAACCCCAAAAAAAATCACTACTTGGGGGCAGGGCATTGTGGGTGGGAGCCCACCATTGGATTAGGGGTCTGACTCAGTAATATGTGAGGCATCCTGCACTGAATGACCAGGTTTGTCTTCCCTGATGGCATGGGCTTATCCAAGATGATTCGTCAGCCTCAGATTGTAAAAAAGAGTGGTTCAGGGAAAATGAGACATCATTTCCACACATGGATCGGACCCCACAGAGTCCAAACCTGAATCCCACTGAGAATCTTTGGGATGTGCTGGGGAAGGCTTTACGCAGCGGTCTGACTCTCCCAGCAGTAACAAAAGAAGACAGCAGCCCAGAAATAAATGTGACATTGCATAAGCTTACTGCAATGATGCCACAGTGAACGTGTGCCAGAGCTAACGGTGGCCAATGAAGTATCAATGTGTGACCTTTTTTTTTGGACCAGTGGTGTATAAGCTTGAGATAAACCATAGTTACATGCTTCAGTTCCTCTTTGTTACTGTTACTGAATCATATCTGTACATAATCGCTTCTGCTGGGGAAGCAGTAACAGGATGTAAAGTCAGCTTTATGAGCACGTGAACGGCCCCCTAACAGGCGTCATCATCGGCTGCGTGTAGGGGGAATAAACGGCTAGCCACACTTTGTCAGCGGTGGCCGAGGCCTTGCTGAGGTTAGCCCTTTTTCATCTTGATACCAAATATAGTATCATGCACGTCCACCAATAAAAGCCTCGTGCTGCTACTGCTGCTAAATACCTGGCTGCAGCAAAAAAAGAAAAACAAGCTGGAACCACTGATGTCAGCAGGTATGGAGCTGCTACTGCAGGAGTTTCCTGCCATTTTCCTAAAGAATGAGTGAAAGCAGCAGCAGTGAGAGATTTTTTGGTAAGAAGCAGAGCTGAACCCTTGGTTTTGTTCATTTGTCATAAGGCAGACTTCGCTCCAGGTCACCGATCCTGAGGAAAAAGAAGCGTCTGTCGAGTCGTGGCAGAAAGAGCGATCGCGACTTCAGTTTACAGACTACAAAGTTCAAATTTAGTTGCTACGTTCTGGCTTTCACCGCCTTTTTTTGTAGATTTCTGCAGATTTGAAACACAATTTTGACCCATTTTCATTTAATTTAAAGTAGAGCAGAAGCCAAAAGGAGTGAGGCAGCCACTGAGTTTGGAACAGCATATTTGTCCATCAACAGGAAGAAGGTAAAACATTCCTGTGAGGTGGTTTCTAATTCCAGCTCCTAGCTTCAGTGAGTAAACTCGCTGCCGCCTCCCCCAGTTGTGTATTCTTTACTCTTCACTGCCTCCCTTCTCTTTACATTAACTCGTTTACACGAGGCTTCATTTGGCCGCATGGTTGTATGTACAGTAGAGGCTGACATTTCTATGCTTTTTTACATCTCCTGACACGGATGAGCCACGCTGTTATCCCAGCGTTTCCATTACAAGTGATGCTCTACAGTTAATTTAGCCGGATGCGATAAGAGAACATGTTTGTGCATAATATTAACAGCACGTTCGATGACATTATCTCAGCCGTGCGTTGGCTCCGGCCTGCGTAATAGAAAAATTACAGTACATTATTTGACCATTTGCTTTCAGGCTGTGTGGTTATAAAATCATGAATTTTTAAAAAGCAATAAGGGAAATGAGGTGCAAAAAAAGTGAGTTAATATTCAGACCGGTACAAGATGGCACCGGAGCTGAATACTAATCCTCACGGCCTCTTCGTCCACGAGCGCCCAGATGGCATCGCGTGTCAACTGGAGGTCAGCCATGTTGGCCGCATGTGAACGGCTGTTACTGCTAATATGAGGCATTGTTAAAGACGTTGGCCTGCTCGCATACATGAAAGCGAAGTCTATAAAGATATCTGGGCTCATGTGGAGGAGCTGCTTTGAGTTAATGACGGATATCTCATGGAAAAATCATTAATCATTAATCAAAACCAGCGCTGACAAATGAGAGGATGATTGACAGTGACCCGCTGCCTGCCTGCCTGAGAGGCACCAGCTGGATGCGTTTTTATTTTCATTGTCAGTATTTACTCAAAAAGGATCGTAGCCAAGGATGGGTCAAGGCTGTTACGCTCAGCAGGTCAGGGGCAGCCCGGAGCGCCTGCAGGACCAGATAAGAGCGAGTGGAGCTCCGCAGCGAAAGGGCCGTGCTTGAGGGTTCATCAGCCAACTTTAACCTCCCATTTGCACAGACACGCTCAGGAGGAGGCGACGTGTTTTACACCGAGCTGCTGATTTACTCACCGATTTCTCTCTTTGTACTGTGCTGGTGCACGGCGACATAGCGGATGGGAATTTGTGGCAGATTCAGAATCAGCTGCAAAAGGCGTGCTAGCGTACGCGGCATTTTTATTTATTCAAGATGCCTGGATTAGCTCAGAAGCCTCTTTCTGTGTAAAAGTGATTAAACTGGAGGTTTAATTTGCCAACAAACATCGTGGTTAAGTAGTTTGGAGTTGTACAAAGCCGTCACAGCACTTTAATAATGAAACACTGCAGGAGTCCATAAAAAATTTGTAAGGTTTACTTTTTAGTCTTTGTGCAACCAGGAACTCACAAAAAATTTTTACTTTATCTGCATTTTCTACAGATAACTCCTGAATGTGTGCACTGTAAATCGTCCCAGTTCTGCTCTTTCTGTCACACGGACATACTCCAGGTTTCCCCCATCCTGAATATTGGCTTCTCATGCCTCCTTTTCTTATCAAACTTGCCTGTTAAGGATATTTGAGGGAACCAAGACAAGTCTCAAGTTTGTCTTGCGGAAAGGAAGGTCGCGGTTGTGTTTGTGGTAAGAAAGAAGTGTTAGAGAGTTTTTTAAAGCAAATAAATGCCTGGTTTTGTAATTCAAGCACAACTGGAGCTAAAACAGAATAATTCACCTGTTTATCAAGGTCAAAAGCAACAGCAAATAAAAAGGTTCAAACAAATTATCAACTGGGAAAATAACATACAGCTTAATTAACTGAAAATGACAAATCCTGCTCTCAGCTTTACAGCCGACAGTCTGTTGCTTCTGTATATCTAGTTCATCTCCAGTTAGTGTTCGCCTCTGTCGCTCGCTTCAAAGTTAAGAAAAGTTTAACTCGTTACCCGACCACGTCTCGCCGCCGGTCATTGATAAAAGTGGCTGATATTCAACCCCACTTCCTTTAGTGTCAGTGGTAATTAAAATGACAGATGGTTACTGGGTCACATGACCAATAGAGCCACAGGCAGTATAAAAGATGGACCGAATGCTCAGGTCTGATAGGTGAAGCCAACATAAAGACCTGCATTCTTCTAACAGCCAGCAGGGGGAGACTCACGTGACTCATCTTTGATAGGAGACTATGGGACAGCAGCCTTGTGATCTCAGAAAACACTTTCAGATCATTAAATCATCATTTCAGGTTTAGTTAAATAAACACGAAGGCTGTTTTGTAAATTATTTTGTAAATTATTGTCATTATTAGAGTCAGAAAGGAGGATTATGTAGGGGGTGTTCATTGGCTACTGAGTTGTCACATCTGGTTTTAAAATGCCAAGATTGACAGCGGTGAAAAATTAACCTCGAGGCTTCAAAACAGGACTTCTTACTGATGTGTGTCCATCTTTTATATACAGTCTATGGATAGAAGCTAACGAGAAAGTTTGAATTTTAAGTTAAATTTTTAGACGTTGAAATGAAAATAACTTTTAGAGAACTTGACATTAGTTCAAAAGTTTTTCCTGAAACTTTCCTTACACCCAGTTTTATATTCAGATCAATGATTGGAAATAATTTATCTGAAGTTCACTAGCAGGACACCCCAAAGACTCCTCTTCCTGTCACATATCTTCCCACACAACCTATTCAAAGTCACGGTCGCTTCTACCAGTTTTACAACTGCTACAGTTTTCAAAATGTGCAAAACGCTCAATCACTGCTTCCAGGGGAAGGTGGCTTTCTTTGGGGATCTGTTGCCCCTGATCCTCACTAAGGTCTTCCCCAAATTGCAGCCTGTTGTCTCGCTGCTTCTCGTTCAGCTCATCTTCATTATCTGTTTGGGTTGTGGTCCTTGCTTCCATTCTTTCCATCGATTCGTCTTTGTTTTAAGATCACTGCTAAGGGTGCTACTTTAACTCTGCTTACTGCAGACACTAAACTGAAACCTGCACACCATCTTCTGCTGACCTTATGCCTTGTGTTCTGCGCTTGGTGTCTTGCAAAATAATCATAGCATCCTGGCTTTCAAAAAAGGCAAGTAAGCTAGCGTTATGGACTGGCCTAGCGGCTGGAATGTGAACCCTTCAGGTTTTTCAGCGCCTGCTGCAGCCCTGCCTGCTGACCTTGAGGTCTAAATGATGGGTAATAGAAAAAGAGCAGCATGTGGTCATTACTGGATGAACAGACTGAGAGATGAGGAGGATTCAGTGAGAGAAAACATGGTTGGATCAGGGTGAAATATCATCTCTGTGACTCTGAGATATGAAGTCTTTCCGTGGCATTACTGAAGCTTATTTCACACAACAGAGGCAGAGGATGTATCGGAATAGATCTATCATAATAAAGCTAGTTTAGTCAGTCACAAGCACCGAGACCTTCCTCAGGAAATCAAAACATTGACGTACTCGCACGACAAAAACTTGACCTCTAAGCAAGCTAGGTTAGATCCAGTAACTCAAAACACACATCAAGAACTGGTAAAAAAAACCAAGGTTTCTGTAGATATTCTCCCCCACTGGTTTGTGTTTGATCTCGTGTCGTCTGCCGGTCAGGCCTATACAGTTTTCATCTCGCAGAAGTCACCGAGGAAGGGAGCGGGACTTCCTTTGGAGTGACAGCAGAGAGGAGAGGCAGAGGCAGACGAAGCATCAGAGGTGGACTTTTTAGAAGTGGAATACCTGCTGCTGACCCTGGACTTTGGGGATCTCCTCTTTTTGCCTGCGGGTTTTGGGCCTCTCCAGGCTGCCTTGCTGGAGGTGTTTGAGCCGGGCGGCGACAGTGGGTCCCTTCGTCGGGCCGGGAGAGTTACTGCTGTACTGTGGGAGCCGAGAGAGAGAGAGCACCGTCATTTTAATTTAACTTATTTCGGCTTGTGTTCATGTTGAACCAGCCAAGTGTTGGCATGAAATCAGACACAGCCTCTCTATACTGTAATGATTCGTGACTGTGATCTGCAAGCCCTCCAAATGAAAACACAGCACATGCTGAAAGTGTACTTATTTTTTTGGCCATGTGTTGTAGATTATATTTGTTGTTTTTGAATAGCTTCATTAATGGGTCTTTTTTTCCGCACAATCCGATATCCCAACATCACAGTATTGTTCCACCAGTGCAGCTATCATTAAGTCTTTTACCTCACTAGATCACCATGGCAACAGATGCTGAACATAGCTTATGGATATTTAAGATATGTGAGTCCTAAAATCAGTGTCTACTTTTGTCTTGTCCTGATTGGAATCTCAAATACTTGTACGATCAGAACCATTCACTCCACAATGCTACTACAGTTTATAGTGATGCTGTATGCAGCCACCGGCCACTTTATTAGACACACCTGTTCAACTGCTCATTGACACAAATATCTGTTAGCGTACCGATTTAAGCACATGGACATGTTCAAGAACAACAAGGAAATTAGATTTAAGGGACTTTTAATGTAACATGACTGTTTGTACCAGCTGGGCTATTCTGAGTATTTCAGAAACTGGTGATCTGCTGAGATTTTCCCTAAAAACCATCTCTAGTGTTTACGGAGACTGGTCAGAAAAAGAGAAGCTATGTGGTGAGAAGCAGTTCTGTGGGAGAAAATGCCTTTTTTTCACGTCAGAGGACCAAACTGCTTTAAGACGATAGCAGTAAGCTAATAGCTACTCAGCTAACCACCAAAGTATGCAGAGGAGCATCGTTGAGCACACAAATATTGAACCTTGAAGCAGCCTGGGCACAGCAGCAGAAGACCAGACGCCTCTACTGTCAGCTAACGTCTTGAGACTGAGGCTACATTTCATATTTTCTCACTCAAATTGGGCAAAAGAAGATTTAGAAAAATGTTTCCTGGTCTGAGGCGACTTCTGCTGTAACAATCAGATGGTTGAGTGACAATTTGATGTAAAGAACATAAAAACATGGATCCATCCAGCTGCACGTCAACAAACTAGTTCCTGGAGCATGAAAACGAGCTCACTGAACTCAAATGACCTCCACTGTCACCAGATTTTAATCCAGTCTTTGGGATGTGGTGAAACAAGAGATTGACATCATCAAATCTGCAGCAACTTTGTGATGTTATCACATAAATATGGAACAAACTGCACACTAGAACAATGTACTTAATAAAGTAGGTCTTCATACACTTTTAAGATCTGTATACCAGACTTTTGTAAAAAATACTTCAGATCAGTTGTTTTCTGTGCCAGGCTGCATCAGCTGATACCCATCTACACACCCATCTCATGCAGAGCTTCCTGTTTAAGCTCCTTTAGCCTTGCATCCTTACGTCTTCATTAACATTACATCTGCTGTCACTGACGTTCGCTCTTTTCCGTGCATGTGCAGTGAAGGGTGGTGAATCAATGTACTGTGGAAGGACATCTTTTGAATAAAATGATTCTGACTGAGCTTAAATTGTTAAAAAGTGACAAAAAAATCTTCATTGATGACTGGATTTACATCTATTACAGTGCTGCGCTGTGACGAATGATTGCATAATGTCTACACGTCTGTAGAGAGCAGCTGTACAGAGAGGATCTAGGTGCCGGTGTTCACCATTCTTGAGTTTTAACCTTTAACCTTTTTTGCGTCTCTCTGGACCAAATTTCAGTAAAAATATTCTACCACAGGAAAGCACAGATTTAATGACCAGTATTAGAAGGAGACAATTTATTTCTGCTGACTTTAATCACTGTTGGCAGGAACTTTAAAGATGCCACGCTGCTCGAAACGCCTTCAGCAAACAAAAGCGGGATCTGAATTTAAAGCACCTGCATGTGAGAAAATAGATTCTTTCAGAGAAACGTTTCTGTCTGCAGCTCTGAACCTGAAATCCCCTCCCTCGCCCTCCCTCCTCGTCTCACCGTCCCTTTATTTTGACAGCTACCTGCTTAGTGGCGTTGTGCGATAATTCCAACAAAAACAAGACCTCTTTTCTCGGCTCAACGTGCCAGCAGAGCTGTCATAAAGAGCACTCTAAACTAAATGCATGATCTGCTTCGATCCGTGCTGACTCACTGCACATCGCATCACGCCGTCAGCTACAAGGAGCTGCTGCAGCGGTTACGGAGATTTAATGCACGTTTTATAAACAAGCATCACAATATGCAAGACTGAAAGTCAGCAGAGGAGAGGACACATTAACAGGGTTAGAAAGAGAAGAAAAGTTCAGCCACCTTAAATTTATATTCAGCCTTCTGCCTACAACTGGATATTTAAATATGAATGTGGAAAAAAAACACAATTTCCATTTTGAAGACACGCCACCAGAAAATCCTGTTATTTCTTTTAATCTTTGATATATTTCAGCGTCTGTTGATCCCACATAGGAGTAAAAAAAATAAATAAATAAATAGGATGTTTTAAATATAGCATACACTTTAATTAGCTTATATTATCACAGAAAAGTAATTAAGCATCACCAAACAAACTGAAACAATCTGATTCACATACAGTGCTGTTGACATGGCAACTTTAATAGATTTTAACACTTTATCTAGTTTTCTGTTAAAACAGGTCATCGTTACTCCCCCAGTCATTTATCCACATAGCAGCAAACAGCAGATTAATGCCATCAGTCACGGCTCGCAGTACTGCGTGCACAGTGACAGAAAACACTGTGACGCTGCAGTCACATGACATCCTTCACCGTTGTTTGCACGACTTGTACAAACGAAACAAATATAAGGAAGTCTCGCTCCTCAGAAACAAAATGCAAAATGTAAAGAAGACTTTTGCATGGTGCCCACGGTGCTCTCTCTTCCTCGCTCCTGTAAAGCCAGTTATTGTATTTAAATTGAATTATAATCAGTAAATAAATTCAGTCACTGCTAGCGCGCTGAGATGAATCACCAGATTTTCCTCGCCGTGTGTTTTTCTCCTCTAACAGAAACCTCACAGTATAAGGCTGATTACATGAAAGCAGAATGTATAAATGGTGGGAAATGCTGGTGTTTTTTTAAACCAAGGTCAGAAAACCACCAGATTAAAGTGCTGTCTACAATTTAGTCTGCTGGCTTTTTACAGCTGTGTTTCCGCTGCTTATTTCAGTGTGACCCTGAAAAAGGTGTTGACTCTTTGTATTAGTCGCTACAAAAGCTTCAGCAGTAATAGGAAATACAAAGAAAGGGGGAATGAGCAGAAACAGAAGCAGAGCCCACAGGTGTGGCGGAGACAGAAGGCAGCTGGAGGTTTTTAATTTACCTTTCTGCCCATGATGCAGGGAGGGGTGGGGGTGGCCTTTGCTGGGCTGCTGTACCCTTTATTACAATCTTTTACAGGCATTCTCTGAAATATCTTTGTAGTTTCATGAAAGACACGTTATCACACCGAGACAACATGTATTAACAGAAATCTGCAACACAAATCAGATGAATAACTTCTCACTTAAAAATCCAGACTAATGTACCTCCAGCTCGGCAATAATCTTCTCTTCGTCGTCTTCATCTTGTACGGCCGAGGCTGCGATCACGGGAGGTGTCGAGGCAGGTCGGGGGGCATCGGAGGGGGTCCGCCTCAGTTTCACCAGGGTTTTTGGCAGGTCACCATCTTCTTCCATCTACAAAAGGACAAAATAAAGACAACAACATTTCTAAGGACTGACCTGCCACGGCAAACATGTCAAATTCAATTTAATTTAATTTAGTTAAATTCCATTTTATTCATATAGCACCAAATTGCAGTTTGTCAAGGTAAAAACCCTACAATGAAAACAAAAGAAAACCCCAACAACCATATGATCCCCTTTGAGCAGAGCTTTGGCGACAGTGGGAAGGAAAAACTCCCTTTTAACAGGATGAGACCTCTGGCAGAACCAGGCTCAGGATGGGGCGGCCATCTGACACGCCCAGTTTGGGATGTGGAGAAGAAGACAAGACAATGATGGAGATCCACTGTATGTAACAGAATATAACAGAACCACCATGGAGAGCACTTGCACCAGAAATGACTGGCTTGCTCAAAAAGGGAGCTACGTTTCTTTGTGCTGCCACATGTATCACTGTAGAGACGGAGATTTAAGTCCACTTCTGACAGGCTTTAGTTATGAAAGCGTGACAGGATGAAACAACTCTGGTTAGTGGGGGTAGTTTGTATAAAGAAAATAGAGACGTTTATTTCTAATAGATTTGAGAAAAGGCAGACATTTACAGCATATACCTAAAAAAACAAGCAGAAAAGTTCCCACCAAAACAATCCATATGCATTAACAACACTGTGGACCAGAGGGCAAATACAGAAACTTGATTTATAGTGTGAGCTGAAAGAGGCAGCATGCTGCTGTGAGCCTGCAGCAAAGTCTGCAGAGATCTGCCAAAATCTGAAGCTGTGTGGTAAAAACCTGTCGACGTAGCAGCATGGCAATAATCCTGAAAGTGCTGTTAAAGCTGTTAAAGCCTGGTTAACTCGCACTAATCTGGGGAACCCTGCATTACTCAAAGATCGCTCAGGTAAGTAAAGTGGAAGACTCAAACATGTTAGTTAGAAGATATGACTATAAGCACACGTGTGTCCATGTTAGCCCTGTGATGGACTGGTGACAGGTCCAAGGAGAACCTCGCCTCTCACCCCTCGACAGCTGGGATAGACTTCAGCCACCATGTGACCCTTATTGGAAAAGTGGCTCAGGAAATAGATGGATGTATTCAAACAGGATCAAGTGATCGGTTCTGTGGTTGTTATCTAAAAAACTGAAACTGTGGCCCAACAATCAAGGTATGACTCATATGTGGTTCTGGATACTGAACCCTGACGGAGTCTCACCTTCAGGTTCTTGGAGGTGACGATGACTTCTCCAGTACGGTTTGTGGTGAGGCCGTGAGCGGAGGGGAAGCTTCGGCGAGGTGGAGGCGGAGGAGGAGACTTGGAGGGCTTTTCTGTTCGATACTTGGCCACGTTGAGGTCCACTTTAAAAATAAACAGATTTTTAGTATTTTAACTTTCCTTTTGTTTAAATAACTTTATTTAACATTTATTTATTTATATTGTAAGGTAATATCCCTCCCCTCACCCCAGCTGGTTAGGGGTGAGGGGAGGAAGACGGCACAAAGGCACTTCAGTCAAAGCTGAAAGCTCAGATTTAAATCTGAAACACAAACTGACCTGAGCCTCGATGCGAACCAGCCCCCTCCATGCTGTTCAGCTTCTGGGCAGCCAGCTGCACCTTTCCAGGCTGCTGGTCCCCGCTGGGTGTGGTGTTTGTAGTGGTGGAGGTCGTGGCTGTGGTCCCAGTGGTCCCAGCTGCAGAGGTAGCTGCGGCGGACGTTATTGGGATGGTGATCTGGGGCTTTGGGGGCACTGCCGGCTTGTTTATGTGCCTGGCAGCGAAGTCAAGGTCGGGGATGGCTTTCATCAGCTCTGCCTGAGTCTCTTCCAGCAAGCGATTGATGTCCTGGGCGCTGAACTGGGTCAAGCTGGCACGCTTCTCCTCCCAGTCCCGCTCGGCCGCCTGACATAAATACAGATATAGACAAATGATATGCCCTAACATGCAAACTACTAAGAGGCAGAGCTGGAAACACATAACCGAGGCAGAGAGAAGCAGTTTGTTTTCTAATGCTGCATGGACAAATGGAATTATAAACAAACTGCTGGCGTGTGAACACGGTCTCATGGAGGGATTTAAGTACCTTCAGATGCAATTTCAAATGTAAATGGATATTTGCCATCTGGCCGATCCTGACAACGTGCACATTAAGATTGTTCACACCAGTAAGATGAAGAAAAACAGTCATAATGAGCAGCTCATTACCAGTCGCACTTCGGCGGACACAGACTTATCAGGAGGACGCCGGCTTGGCAGCTCATCAAGAACTCGATTTCTAAAGGTCATCGTAGGCTGGATGTCCTGCTCGGGGCCCGAGGTGTCCGCGTCGCCGGCAGACACGGGCATCCAGTTGGCCAGGCCGGCGCTGGTGCTGAGATCGGTGAGGCTGAGAGGAGGACTGTTCAGGATGTCGAGATCAGAGGTACGACTCAGGTCATCGGCTCGTTTCTGCGGTTGGCTGGAGAGGTCCTCGGGGCTCTTCCACACCCCCTCGGTGACTTGTCTTTTAACAAAGGGGACAACAGAATAACGGTAAGGTCATCAGCTAACACAATGAAGTCTATTGTCATTGATTAACCAGCTTTTATTACGTTTACTTTAACAAACTCTGGTAACGAATCATAAATGATCCAAACTGTTGCTGACTGACTGCAAAAACTCAAATATCAAAAACTTGAACTGTTGAACCCATAAAAAGTCTTTCTGTTGTAAAACACTGGCTCCAGCACTCCTGCTAATTAGATCGCTCCTGGAAATCTTGTTCTGAGCACCTGTAGAGGAACCTTCATTGCGTCGGACAGAAAGCCTTCAACGCGTCTCAGGATGTTACAGCAGAACGAGGCCCTTATGGTCTGATCCTGTTTATGGCTCACAAAGCTGTAAATGTTGAAGTAAATACACACTGCTCCTGGTTGTGCCACCTTTGGGTCAGCTCAGGCAAACTTATTAAACCCAAAGCTCCTATTAAATGTTTTGACTGCCTTTTGACAATCGTGCAAGTAAAGATCAAGAACAAAATGGATCTGAAAGTTTGTTTGCACATGAACCCGTTCAAACTTGGAGCTTTGATCAGGATGTCATATGATGTCACATCTACACAAAGGTTCAAATCAAACCAGGCGCATTGTAAAGCACTGACTCTGAATGGGTTCTTTTATTTTGAAATTAACTGGCTTCCCTATGATACTTCTGTGTATATCTTCCTGCCCTTCCCTCTGCTGCTGAGAGCTACTCCTCAGATGCTTTTGGAACGTCTGCCAGACGTGCCATCACCGTTCGAGGCGGGCGCCATTAGCTCCCGTGGCCACGTCGGAACCTGAAAGCGACACAGCTGCGCCCGGCACATCCCGGGTTCATCTGTTCTGTGTGACAGTTTTATTTGTCTGTTTGTTTGTGTCTATAAATGTAACGATGTTTGCTGCCATCTTCAAGATGATATTTTCAGTCTGAATGAGACTTTTTTTACCTAGTTAGATAAAGGATTATTAAAACAAACATCACTGCAGATCACCACCGAGGGTAAGTGATATATTACTCATCGCATGAACGATTGAATTACCGCATATGAGGAACTGAAGAAAGATGACACAGCTGAAATAATTGGCCATACTTGGTGTACCGGAGAGGAGTTTCTCACATATTTTAATCCTACTGATCTTACATTAAAGTCCTGCAGCTCCCCAAGAAAACCGGCATCAACATTTTTCTGAGATTTATAATCCCGTTTACAGGATTCAGACTTCTTAATCTGAAGTTCCCGAACGGCTGCTTGGACAGTTTTTAACTTTCAACTTTTGCTTTCAATTAAAAATAAATACAAAAACCTCGATATATGACATGTTACCATTTTGATATCAGCAGAAACGAGGCGTTCTGTCTGATGACCAGAACGTTTAACCATTAATCAGAAATACCAACAGTGGAAAGGAGAGACTGCTGCGCCCGTCAGCTCTCCTCTGATGTTCTCGGTGTTCACACAGGACTCACGGGCATTATTCAGCGTTTGGCAGCGCAGTCATGCATCAATTCTGATTTTACTTCCTTAAATGTTAATCTTAAACACATAATTGGGAATCCCATATAAGCTGCATTCCACTGATTCCAGATGACAACAAATCCTTTTTCAATCCTGGACATTTGTTTTGGATAAAACACGAAATTAAATTTAAAAAAATTGCAGAACTTTTATGTAGTCATTAGCACCGCACAAGCCTTTGTTTCTATTAAATCTGTGTAGATGTTAATATATACCGATCAGGCAAAACAAAATGACCACCTGCCTGATATTGTGTTGGCATCTGGCACCAAGATGTAACTAGGTCCCTTTTAGTGGTTGGAAAAGACCTTCTGATAAAACAGATGCATCAGCTCATCGCAGTTACTGCCTCTAAAATGAGTGTAACCTCAATCTTGAGCAGTTTGTGCAAGCTTAGTTAAATTCTGAGTACAGGTAAAGGGGGAGTAGAGATTCTCGCGAACACACAGATGGACAGACCGCCGATCCAGAACACATCACAGGGGGAGAAGCATAAGGACACTTCTACTGAGAGATCTCAAATGAGCAGCTGTGATGAAAAGAATTGAGAGGTGAACGGGAAAATGACCGTGAAGCGGAGATCAAGTACGGTTTTTGATTTATCTGGGCTCGTTCCTAAAACCTCGATCACATGTTGTGTATATATTGTAGTTTAATATCCTTATTTAAGTCCTTTTATAATCTGTAAATAAAGAAACTATTTTTTATAATAATCAAATGATAAAAAAATATTTATTTAAATAATTAATTGGTCCTGATAAGACTGACGTCAGCTGTATTATCTAAACCAAATTACTAAAAAATGATGACTGACTGTGTGGTTTGATGTAAATCTTGCAGAAAATACTTGAGCTGATTTAATAACTGAGCAAGGGTTCATTTCACTTTTATTTGAGTACCTGCGCAGCGTGCTGAGAGCATCCGTCATGGTGTTGCAGCGCTTCAGCAGGGCATCCAGACGATGAGGCTCCTCTTTCAGGAACTTCACAGCCTCCACCTCCACCCTCAGCACCACGCGCATCTTACTCTGAAGGCTCGGGAACTGGTCTGCACAGGGAGGGAAGAGGCATCAGTGAAAACAGAAAGCTGTGTGTCAGAGAGATATGTTGAAATGTTGATGTGAGAAGAAATAGAGCCGGAGAGCAGGGACGGCGGGAGGAGGCGGATTACAGGGAAGGGGACATAAAGGAAAGACAGGATGCTGTTTCTGTCACCCAGGATTTTCCTGTCATATCCAGATGATTCCTATGAGGAGGGCTCAGCGGGGGTCAGCTAAACGAGAAGTAAGGACATGTTAGCTTGTTGTAACATCTGAGATGTTGGATTTCAGCAGAAATGGCGGCGCCTCAGGGGCGTGTCCTGGCCATGTCTTCTTATCTGTACATAAACTTTTTTTTAACATATGTTTCATTCTTCGTAGTATTTATATGTCCTGTTTGGGTGTGTGTTGGTAACAAGCTGTATATGCCTCAGATTCAGACTCTTCTTCTATTTTTCATAATAAAAGAAATGCAGAAAAGACAAAGTCGTTCTCCACCCATGAGCAGGTAGAAGAATGGATGGATGTTGGTTGAAGTAAAGTGTTAGATATGTTAGCTTTGTTTTATCCATTGTTCTGTTTTTCTTGCCTACTGATTATGTTTTGTTCTCTCACTTCTTGTTTCTTCCAAGTGTGGTCCCCTTCATCTGAGTCTGATGTTTGTGTGTTTTCATTTGGTCCCTCTTATTTCCCATTTTATTTTGGAGGTTAGTTCCTCATGTGGTTTTCTATAATTTTGCTTCCCTCCTTTGTTCTTTTCCCGCCCTTGTTTTTAAAAAAAATTATTTTATTTATTGGTTTTTGTTTTTCCGTAAAAACATAAACATAAAGAACAAACTAGAGGCTGTGAGGCACATGGGAAATTGAAGATGATGCGACTGCTACAACGGTCACTTTAAAGAAATATGACCAAGAACAAGTTAAATAAATAACCTCCACATCTTACTGGATGAGAGTAAAGATCTTTGCTTCCTGCTAAATCAAAGTTAAAATCCTGCCCCTTGTATAATCAGGACCCATCTCCTCTTTAAGACCTCATAGTACCGCATCATCCTAATAAAGACCTACGTGTTGTTCCTAGAGGATTTAAAAGTAGAATGGGAGGCAGAGCCTTCAGTTTTCAGGCCCCTCTTCTGTGGAACCAGCTCCCAGTTTAGATTCAGGAGACAGACACTATCTCTACTTTCAAGATCAGGCTTCAAACTTTCCTTTTTGCTAAAGCATGTATTCAGGCGACCCTGAATCCTCCCTTATTAATGCTACAATAGGTGTAGGCTGCTGGGGGATTCCCATGATGCACTGAGTGTTTCTCTTCAGTCACTTTCCCCCTCATTATGTGTCTTTACACCTCTCTGCATTTAATCATTAGTTATCATTAATCTCTGGCTCTCTTCCACAGCATGTCTTTGTCATGCTTTCCTCCTCGCACCCCAATCAGTCGTGGCAGACGGCCGCCCCTCATCGTTTTCTCTGTATCATTGTAGGATCTTTACTTCACGATACAAAGCGCCTTGAGGCAACTGTTGTGATTTGGTGCTACAGAATTAAAACTTAATTGTATTAAAACTTGCAACTAGTGAGTGATTCCAAGCGATTTCCATCTTTTATAAATGTTGTCACTGTTGTCTGAGTTTTCTCTCTATTACTGGCCGATCTGTAGCTCACGATAAACAGCGCCTTGAGGCGACTGTTATTGTGATTTAAAGCTGTATAAATAAAACTGAATTGAAATCAAATTGAACTGCTTCTGAGACATATTATGGTATTACTGAAGAAAGCATCCCAATCCCTTATTAAATCAACTCTGAGTATCTGGTTTACACATAAGTAATTCTTCCATTTGAATCATGAATAAAATCTCCTCAGTGTGCAAAGGTGGGAGGAGAGGTAGACGTCCAAGTTGAGTTTGTATTAAGGTCTGATTGGGTTCACCTGCCCCTTATTTTGCTTCTCTGCTTAGTGTGTATTTAGTATGCGTCTTCCCTGTTGTTGGATTTTCTTTTCTTTTTCAGTAACTTCCTGTTTATGGTCTAACCTGCAACACTTTTTATGACTTTTTAAAAAAGAATTCCTTATTTTCAGTCCCTTTTCTTTTGCTGTCTTGTCCTACTGAGAACTTTTAAAACCAACTAAATAAAAACTATTTTTCCATTTTCTAAGTTCACATTAAATATAAAACAGTGGAGGACACTGTTAAACTTGTAGGATCCAGGCTCACAACACAATGAGCTTCAAAGAGATTTGGAATTGCTTGTTAATATTCAGGATAGAGACATGAGTACACAGGTCAAAGCAGCAGGAACAGAGGCCAACTGGAACTTCATGAATATTAATTAAAGGACAATAAGACTCATAAATATTAATCTGCGTGTCTGCATAACATGAAAATGGACAAACACAGTATTTTGGCAGTGTTAGCACCTGAACTGTGACCTGTAACTACAGTACTGTACGTGGGGAGATTTCATGATTATCAGTGTTTGTAAGAAACATTTGATTGTAAAGTCATGTTAGTGAGTGTTTACACCATCACACGCTGGCTTTTCTAGAAAAGTACATTAGTAGTAGTAATAAATATTACAGGGAATTTATCTGTTGTATTTCATGGCACTAAAATAAATTTTAAAAATCTGGCTTCTGGACCCTCAGCCACAAAATATTTGCAATTACAATGACGCAATTATGATGATACGAAGCTTTGAAAACAAAGTGTTTCAGCTTCATTTAGATTCACGTCTCAGCACTTTTCCTTTTGCAAAACAAATAAGTGTAAAAATGAATTTGTATGGGACCACTTTCAGAGGGAGATTACTTCAGCTAATCCAGTCTCATCCTGTAAACAAAGATATGTGTTAATGTCTCGCTGGGCTACAGCAGAGGTGAAGCAACAGTGCTGGAAAGTGCAGCTAAGCCTGGCAGGTGTTTGAAACCTTTTTCCTTTGAATTTGTTGCAGTTTAAAGTTAAAAGCACCGACAGACACAGAGCTGCTCACCAGCGGAGCGGTGGGGTATCATTTGCATATAGCAGTAAAATTAAAAAGCTATTATCTTAACTAAGTGGTTAATTTCATAAACCAGTCATCGGTACAGATGTTCGACTAAAGCATCCAAATCAGTTCCAACACAAAGATCAGCATGAACGTTCCCTCAGTTGTTGTAATACAGTTTAATATCCAGAAATTCATGAAAAAGAGGATTTATGACATTTAGCAGTTAGAAGTCAGCAGGAAGTCACGGTAGGTCACTAATTAACATCTGAAAATGATACCGCATGCTCTGAATTCATTCTAAAAAGAAACTCAAAGGTAAAGCACGACGATGGACGTAATCAACGATGTAAAAATAAACACCAGCGCTGTGTGGAGGATTGGTGACAAGGAAATAGACTGATCTTCATTTAGCAATTTTCTATTCTTGATGACTAAAGGAGCTTGGAAAGAAAAGCACCTGGACTTCTTTAGAAGCTTCTTCACTTCTAAGAGAAACTGGTGGAGAATCCCAGGTTTTTATGCCCTATTGAAAGTGTCCCTTAGAGGGTCGTGGACCGACTATGGATCCTCTGCCCAATCACACGATTAGTTTATCACAGATTAACCTACCACACATCTCTTTGGACTGTGCGAGGTAGTCGCAGAAAACATGCAAACTCCACACAAGGAGAGCAGATTCAAACAAATAGCTTTTGTGCTGCGAGACAATGGTTCCAACAGTTCCTCAGTGCAAGTTGGAACATAGCATGTTTGACATATAATAATTTTCTATGTGGCATAAAGCTACAGAGATATGGCCGGGCTAATATAAACAGATTATCAGAGGGAAGATGTAGGATGAGGGTTAAACTTATCAATAACAGGTAAATGTTCCTGGTGGGCAGCAACAAACGACAGGAAGACGAAATAAACATCAAACTTCAGCTGAGAGAATGTCTGACAACAGTTATTAATATGCTCATCCATGGTTTGGATGACTTTCTATGAATGAGTCTTGATGCTAAGCTTAATGTCCACACTAAAATCTTAGCCAGCCCAAGAGTGATTCCAGACTGTGGTGTGCACCGTGTGATTAAAATACCTTAAAGGTGCACTGCACATGAATAGTGCTACTAGAAAGATGGACAGAAAGACAGCTGGAAACTTCTGGGGGTCTCATTTCATGTTGATAAAATATAAACAGCGCACTAAAGAAATGAGAGCCTCATCCAACGCAGGACATGACTGCATCTGCAAACGAGGTCAAAACATCATCACTTAACAAGCAAACGGGATCGAGGGATCAAAGACTGAAACACAGAGACGTAACACAAAAGGTGAAAGGTCAAGGAGTTAAACACTCCAGGGGTTAGGGAAGGGCTCCCTGATCAGTGATGGCAGATGTAGTTTATGTCCTCTAGTCTCGTTAACTGAGAGGATTTTAAAGCGTCGAACATTCAAAGAACAAACAAAACATCACAGATTTGGTCATGACAGCATTTACTTTTTAGCTCAGTGAGTGTCTCTCCCAGCATCCTCAGCTCTTTGCTCTTCTGCTCCACGTCCTGCTCCGTCACGAGCCCGTGATTCACGGACGAGTTCCTCTGGAGCTCCTCCACAGACTTCTCCAGGTCGCTGTGAAGGACAGAAATGTGTCTTTTATTTTGAAAATGTAACTGTTCACACCTGAATTCACAGTGGATGCCCTGCAAATTTTAAAACTGAGTGTAAGACTTTATTCATGTACTACTACTCATCTACTACTGGCTTCCAAAACATTTACAAAATAGTCCCAAAATTGTGCTTGTTGCCAGCACCATCGTTTAGCAGATGAATGCAAAAAGTTTTTTTTTCCTGGTTTGATTTTGATGTGAAGCTTAAACCAGGAAATAATGAAACTTCAGCTAAACATACCAGGAAACACTGTCTACACTTTGCGTAAACAACTGGAAACATCATGAATCGTTCACCTCACCGAACCAACCGAGACCACCTGACTGTTTGCTGTGCTTCTTACTTAAGATCAAACTCACTGCAGCTGTTGGATGAGCAGCTCCTCCTGGTTTAGGTATTTGAGCCTCTCCTCCTCCACTAGGAGGCGCTGTCTCTGAAGCGGGTCCTCCTGGGTGCGCATGGCATCCAGCATCATGAGGCTCAGTTCAGACTCCGTCTGTCTCAGCAGGGCGAGCACCGAGTCCTGGTTCTCCAGCTGGGAAACAGAGTCACAGCTTAAAACTTGAACTGGTTTCCATTCACACTATTGCATGAGTGCACGTACCCAAATATTCAAACTGCATTTGTGAGTTTATGAGGTAAATGTACTGAAGTTAAAACTTACTCTCCTGAGGGAACAAACAACATCTGGTGTGTTGGTCTGTTTGCAAAAAGAGCTCCTACTCTGTTAGAGGAAAACTCCCCAATAATCCTTTATCTTAATCGAGGGACTCAACTCTAACAGTACTGCAAGCTGCACATATTGCATATCCCCCTTTGAGGCTACTGCACATAGATAAAACCCTCTTAACTCAATGGTTACACGGCTCTTTTAAATAAAGTGCAATAATATGAAACATGGATCAAAAAGCCAAACTAGTTCTTAAAGGATTCTATAAGTTCTACATTTTAAACAATATATAATAATAAATGATGAAAATAAATGTATATTATTCTCCTAATCTTTGTGAACTCATTTCACTTTAGTTCTTTTCTGAAAAATCTGCTTTTCCTCTGCTGCTGGCGCAGAGCCGAGGAGATCCACCAACAGTGAAACAGAGAGCAAAGGAGGGAAGCAGGTAGAGCTGATTAACGCTATTCAATGTATTGTACAGTGGGGCATTAATATTAATATTTGGTCCAAGCTTGCACAACCTTGCTGACAAAAAATATGACATCACGGGAGGGGAAAAGTGTGGGTGACACGCTAGTTTGCATATTTGAAAATAGTTTTCAGTCAAAATTGTCTGTTTACAAACCTGCATGTTGCGTAGCTGTGACAGCTGTTTGCGCAGGGCGTTGGTGTTCTGCTGCAGGCTTTGTAGGTGGAGCTGCATCTGCAGACGGGACACCGTCACAGGCTGGTTGGGCCCCGAGGGTGGAGGAGGCATCAGGGCCAGAGGAGCAGATGGTGTCAAAGCTGCCCGGCAGAAAGTGATATTCATTTCAGGGAACTCATTCATTCCTTGTATTGGGATCCTTTAGGGCACATTTAGAGCTGATAGAAAATTGTCCCAGAGCACTGTTACCAAATCAGAGGCTTCAAATGAAATCTGCATTTTGAGAAACATCTGCTGGTTGACTGCATGAATACAGAATATACTGGATGTTTGCACATTTGAAAACAGAAATCCAGGACAAGTTCTATCTGTGCTGCAGGTCAGAGGTGGAGATTACAGTCTTATGTAGACTCAACAGTGATAAACAGCACGGGGAGGCTTCGGGGACAAACAGGATCGGGAGTGAAAAACAGCAGTTCCACTTAATCCGAGAGTCTCGTTATAGAGGCGTCTCCCAGACAGCCACAAAGTGTGAGTGTTTCTAAATGAGAAAATCCTCTTGAATGGCGATGAGTGCTACGTTCTGACACACGCATCATGCAGAACAAGACAAAGGAAAGTAACTGGAAGACAGTCAGTTAGTAACAGAGGAGGGGGTGTAAGAGTTGCATTTCAAGGCTTCTTTTAAAACTAATTACAGCTGTCCACACCAAGGAGGAAGACTGTAACACCCCAATGCTGACACCTGTACAGGTGAGGAAATGGTTCTGTGTATAACTGATTATGGGCACAGTTGCTGCAGCTCTCCCGGTCAACCAGAATTCAGCACAGCCTTCATCTTTCTGTAAGCTTTTAACTGCCAGCACAGAGTCCACAGATAAGAGCTCAAGCAAATCGAACCATTACTGACTAACTTTTATCATTCAGTGAGACACGCAGATAAAAATCTGACAGGAGAAAAAAGGAGCAGCTGGAGTGAATGGGAGAAGTTAAAATATAAAAATCACAACTAAAACGACTCTTCAGAAGAGTCTAATTCAAGTCGCAAGGGACTCAGAACATCCAGACTTATCTGTAATTTGCGATGAAATAAGATATGAATTGAAATTGCAAAATATCATCTTTTAAGATCCTTAATAGGAAAAAAGGAGGCTAAAACTGAACACTTTATGTGAAGAAATCAATGTTTCTAAAGATGTTTCCGCGTTTCCCACAAGCAGCTAATTTTCTGACGCACAAACGTTCAAACATCAAACTCTTTTGATCGCCTGCAAATTCATCCTTAGTTGAAAAGCTGAAGGGAAAAACTTTGACAAAGCAGAGTTTGTCGTGTCCAATTTAATGCAACTCAGCGATTTCTCACTCAAAAACACAGGAAACTATGGAGGACCAAAACTGCCAAAATTACAATGCAATAAAGAAAAAAAATTAATGGCTCAAGTTTAAAAATGTGCATAATGTAAGGAATAATCCACTAAAGAAATGTTTTTTATTGTAGTTGATATGTTATACCCACACACACATATTGTTTTTCCTATTTGATTCTGTTTTTTAAATATACATTTTATTTTTTTATAGACAGTTTTACGAATCATTTAATTATAATTTTCCAGATGTATTCCCTGGCTTCTTTCTTCATCTCTGTTTCCATGCAACATTTGAGCACAGCTGTCATTTGAAAAAGTGTCGTGAGGTTGAATTTGGATCCATCTGTTGTCTGATGGTAGAATGGATGACAGGAATTAAAATATTCTCTGAGCCAATCATCATATCATCAGATAATTCAAAAGTCTACCAGTGACAACTTAGTGAGCAAGCGAGCTAAGGTTAATCAGCTACTGCAACGAGTAATATGTCTGGATTATCATATAAATAGTATTTTAGGCGTGAGTGTAAAATTATGACTGACAACAGAAACGTATTCGATTGATGGAGTGCAGCCCAAAGTCTTCTAAGAAAACCCTCCTTATGCCATTACGGCACCGCGAAGTGGCTCCCATGACGGTGCATTCAGAGACACTGCACTTCATGTCTTACTTATAGTGTGTTAAAGTGTCTTATTAACCTGAAGTCTGGCTATTCTCTTATGACCACTACCATCAACAAAGCATTTTCTGAGAGAAGACACCTTATTCTGCCAGCTCAATAGATATTTTCTTTCTTCAGACATTCTCTGTAAGTCCTACAGGTGGGTTTGTGGGGAAACTCCCAGTACATCTGCAGTTTCTCTCAGAGAGCCTGTCTGGTACCAACAACCTTACAACCTTCAAAGTCACTTAAATTGCCTGATGATTAGTTTGAACTTCAGGAGGTTGTTCCATGTGACCATATGTACATCCCTAAATGAGTTCCTGCCACATGATTGGCTGATATTTTGCCCTAATGAGCAGCTGTCCCTAAAAAAGTGGCTGATGATTGTATACTTAACATTTGCTTTGTATAATACAAACTAACAGGGGGCAGTTACCCAGCTGGCTATTACTTAGCTACTCAATGTGCTTGGCATGGGCAGTCCAAGTTAAATTCATCAGTGAACTGATAGTCAGGTATAAAAGTCTCCTGAGGTTATGAAGAGCAAATAAAAAGGTGAACTAGCGAAAAAACATGTCATGCAAATGCAAATAAAACAGAAATATCACACATTTAAAATGTGTTTCTGTGTATTTAATGACATTTTTTATTAAGCCAGTTTTATTTATTTGTTTATTTAATCATTTCTAATTTTGGCAGTTTAGGCCCTCCATAGAACAAGGGGAAAGTGAAGGACACAAGGTGTCAGAGAGGCAGATCCTTCAAAATGACATGTATACATGTACTAGGAACTCATGGGAATCCAGATAAAAACAGGGAAGGGGTGAGACGGGGGGTACCAGACACTTCAGGAACACATACAGTAGCTACCTTTCTTTTTTATAGTTCGTCCAGCTAAAACAAGAAGCATGGGCACCAGTTACAGAGCAGCAAAAGCCAGCGAGTACAGTACAGTACAGTATGAGGAAGCTTGCAGAATCAGCCATTACAATCACATATGAGGCTCCTTAAGAATTATGCAGAGAAAATGAAATAGCAGCAGCTCTGTGTGAGGAAAAAGAGCTAATTTATGTGGCTATCAAACAGGCAGCAGTGTGAAGCAGTGACAGGCAGTGATAGGAAATACTTTGTCTCCTTTTCTTTTCTTTTTTTTGGTAGTGAGCACTTACTGTCAGTTCCTGAGCAGTCACTGGCTGACTCAATCTTCTCCCTGGAAGAGGCAAGTGTTAAAGTACTTACAGCCAGAACACACTATCGACTGAGCTACTGAGAAGCTATTGATATATGGTGGAAAATGTGTGAATGTAGTGTGCGTGCTGCTGTAGTCGGGATTTTTTCCCTCGCTCCTTCACTATTCCCTACATGATCTACAGTAGTGGGAAGATCGCTGTTTAACATAAATTTACATTTTTTTCTTCCTCAGCTGAAGCAAAACACATATGAATTTTAAAGCTTTTTCCACATCATAACAACCAGAAAAAAGGCAGAAAACCAACAGAGATGATAAGGCCTGCAGTGATTTATTAAATATATGCATTTATTAAAAGGTTTCCCTGGTTTTTGGATGTTGAAATGAACACCCACAAGAGTGACTCAAAAGAAATGTGGGAGGTTCAGGACACAGGAATCCTGGCTGCTACAAACTAAAAGCATCAGTAGGGCTTCTCGCCTTTAAGGTTCCAGCCAGCAGCTTCATTTTCTTTAATATGACATTGCAATAAAGTGCACAACACAGAATCAAAAACAGTTTCTCTTCAGTTTCATAAACAGTACCGGTACTTGGATTGTAACCTGCCCTTCTTTTATTTTCCCACAGTGTTTAAATTTGTCTTATGTTTTAATGATGTTGGGGTGCAGCAAATCTGAGGCTTCCCGGGGCTTCCAAATGCTATCCTGCTGAGTCTCTAATGCCTCCCAGAAACACACACACACACCAAGAAACACACAACCAAAAAACAGCATCTGTCAGCATGTCTCTGGCTCCAGTAATACCAAATATATCCATCCATCCAATCTCATCTGTTAATACAAAATCCCTGAAAGACAAATTAAAGGACTTAATTAAGGATGCTCGGCTCCAACATTTGGATCGAATATCAACCCGATCCTACTCAGAGAGCTCGAGTGGGTATCGGTGGCCCGGGGTGAACTGAATTAACTTCATCAGCACATCAGCAGTGTGCTGGCTGCTACAGCAGGGAGGAAGCTCACGGCAAAAGGTCAGCAGTTTGGAGGTGTTTAATGTTGGTGACAAACAGCTTTTCTCTGGATCTTTGCAAAAGTTTTTGACTTCACCACAAACTCTGGTCAAACAACTCGACATAACCAAAACATGCAATGATAAGTCTTTCCCTGTTTCTCTCACAGCTTGGCCTGGTACTTAGAAAGTGCTGCACTTTTGCATGCACACACAGCACTTTGCCTTAAATTGTTTTTATCAGTCATGGGCACACTGACTGATGCATGACTGGAGTTTAGGAAGTATTGAGCTCTCTAGTGGGCTTTTTTTAATCCTGAATGTTTAACACAAGACCCCTGAAGAATGGAGGGGAAGTGTACTGGTACTGGTACTGGTACTGACTTTCAGGAGCGGCAGAGAAGTATGTCAGGCTGGTGTAGGAAATGTATGAGGACAGCAACACAAAGGTGAGGGGTGTAGTTGAAGCGACTCGGATTCAAAGTGGGGATGGGATTACATCAGGGATCAGCTGTTTGCTGTGGTGATGGACAGGCTGATCAATGAGGTCATGCAGGAGTCTCTGTGTACTATGATGTTTGCAGACATTTTTATCAGGTGGAAGAAAGCTTGGAGAGGTGGAGGTATGCTCTGGAGAGAAGAAGAATGAACGTCAGTAGAAGTAGAATAAAATCATGCGTGTGACTGAGAGCGAGACAGGTGTAATAATGAAACTATAAATATCAGAGGTTGTGAAGGTAGATGAGTTTAAAAAGCTGGGGTCAAACATCCAAAGCAAGTGCAAAAGAGAGGTGAAGAAGAGAGTGCAGGCGGGGAGGAGTGGGTGGAGGTGATTGTCAAGGGTGAGCTCAGGTTGAGCAGTTTGGACACAAAATTAGAGAGCAATGGGTGAAATGGTTTGGACATGTGCAGAGGAGGGATAGTGAATATATTGGACAAAGAACGCTGAAGATGGAGCTGCCAGGCAGGAGGAGAAGAGGCCTGAAAGGAGGTTCATGGGTGTGATGAAGAAGGACATGCAGAGGTTTGGTGTAGCAGAGGAGGATGATAGAGATCTGCTGTGGTGAGCCCTAAAGGGAGTACCCGAATGAAGAATTCAAAGTTTTCCCCAAGGACACTTCAACATGCTGATAGGAAGAGCCAAGACTCAAACCCCTGACCCTCTGATGAAGAAGCATCCTGACATTCCCTCTCAGCCACAGCCTGCCGTGTAAAGCCTGTTAAAAAAGCCTTTATCACACTAACAATATGTTTCTGTCCACTTGATTAATATCTTACAAACTTCGATCACATAAAACTTTAAGCCTGAATGCTAAAGCTGCACGCTGCAAATCTCCCAGCAGTCTACAAATGTTGTAAATGTGATATTTTCTAACACATTATCAACTGAACTGAATTCTTATCAGACTTTTTATGGATGTGGGTAGGTCGTACTTCATGTACTTTTCTGTATTTCCAAGTTTTCAGGGCAGTGTGTAAGGAATGGATCTGTAAATGGGCTTTGGATTAGTTCAAAAGAAGTGTAAGAACAAATCGTACACTAGGTAACAACTACAAAATGGATTTGTTCGCTTCAGACAAACGTGTGTCTGTGTTTGTGTGTATAAATGAAGTGTTTTCACAGGATTTCTATGCGTGTTTGTTGCGTGTGTGTGTGTGTGTGTGTGTCTTACGGGCTTTCTGCCTCAGGCGCTTTGCTCAGTACTCTCTGCAGCAGCCCGGTCAGGCTGGCTATCTGCTTCTCCATCGCCTCCATACGCTCCCTGGATTCAAAGATGCACAGAAATGGTGGCTAACAGATGTTTCATACACATTTTACATAAAACATAACTTAAAAGGTTTCTCAGTTTTTAGTCCTCATTTAAAATGTAAAGTCAAGTGTAATTACTTTTGAGTTTTTTGTGTTATGAAATCAATGAAATTACCTCCTCACATAAAAATAAATCTACTTTTGCTTAAACAGCAGCTATCAGGACTGAAAAAGCAAATAAGTGTCGCATGCCAATGGCACATGAAGCTGGCTCCAAAGTGAATCATTTGCCACAGACTCTCGTGCTAAATGCTACAAAAATGGTTCTGGTCTCTAAGTATAGTTTGCTACATTATAACAACTGCAATATGGATGCATTGTTTTAGCATGCCCTTTTGTATTTTAAGACTTGAAATTAGAGGCGTGGCCACTTTGAGCAACACTTGTGTCGTCACTGGGAGCTCTACACTAAACCAGAACATTTAAGAAGTGTGTGCTTTCATTTTGTGAAGTAAATACAATTCTAGTACTTCATTAGTTTATAAACTATCACTAAATGGCAGATATAGGTCTCTCTGCATTGCACTCGTACAGTTAAAGATGCAGCTTGCTAGCCAAGCTAGCTGATGTTAGCAAATAAAATTATATCACCATCAAACTCTCATCACTTCAAAACAAACAAACAAACATGGCAGTGGGCAATATGCCACAATTGAGGCTTTAGAACAAAACTAAATATCTGCATCCATTTTTTTTAAAAACACATTGCCACCACTACATAACTATGATAGTAGCATAATTTTTTTAATCATATTTTTAATATTGATCAGTTCTGCTAAACTGTACAAATTTTATAGTACTTAAGATTGGTCATAACTGTTGTATACGATTTGTCTTCATATATATCTAATGTCTTGCTTGTGCGCTTGCTTAAAACTGTACATAAGCAGATATCCCTGAAGTCCTCATCTTTGCCTGTGATTCACCTGCCATCTCACGTGTTTCTCTATGTAAGCTTCTCAGGATCACTAATCTCTACCATAAGAATAAAGCAGCTGGGGAGTGATTCATAAATCTGCACATCTACCAGTGATAAACAGTACTGACAATCTCATATTAGAAGAGATGCAAGATCACCAAGCTCTGAGCACAAACTGGTTGTTGGTAAGGTGCGAGTAATTTCTAGTTTTAATGGCAAAATGATCAAAATCACTCATGAAGTCTGTTAACATTACCATAGGAAAACAAAGTAGACATCCTCCACACATACACATATGAATTGCCAGCAATTAATAAAAAATGATAAGTACCTGGTTTCTGTCTCATTCCCCAGCAGAGGTGAGCCGAAGCTTCCAGGTCCACCTCCATCCCCTCCGGCACCAGCCAACAGGCACAGCTGCTCTGAGGTGAGACCCAGTCCTGGTCCCTGACCCCGGGCTTTGGGACTTTCCCCAAACACCGAAGAGGTCACAGAGTCTCTTCGCAAACTCTGTCTCCCTGGAGAACCCCGATTGGGCATGGTTGCTCCATAGGAATCTCTCATGTCAGGTATCTTCTGCGGGGAGGAGGGTGGAGGCACCCGCAACCCCATGGCCAACAGAGACGCAGCATAGGCATCGTTATAAAGAGGTCCTCCGGGTCTGTAGAGAGCGCTGTTTTCCATCAGTTCTCCTTGTAGTGCAGCTGCTGAATAGGAGGTGAGTGAACGCACTGATGCAGCACCTCCACCACCCCCACCACGGCGGTATAAGGAGCCGTATGGGTCGGCTCTTGCTGGCAAAGGAGAGTGAGGACCCCCTGCGAGGCTAAGCCGACTTGGATCTGGACCCAGAGTGTAGGGGTCTGCGTAAATCCCGCCCCCACCACGATCATCCCCCCTCAGCAGCACCATGCTTCGGGATCCCCCCATTTCATCGTCGGGCTTCACGTCCCTGCGCTCAAGTATGGCACTGGAGGAGGCGCAGAAGGCCGGCTGGGGGTGGTGGGGCTGGTGGGGCTGGTGGAGCTGGGGCTGCTGGTGGGGAGAGGAGTGGTGGGACTGGGAGTGAGGGTGAGGCAGGGAGTGGGTGTGGTGGTGTGGCCCGGCATAGGAAGAAGGCCTTCCGCCACTGTAAAGTAGACGAGCACGGGAGGGTGAGCCTTGGGGAGGGGAAGCAGAGGAAGATGAATGCTGGGAAGACATCGGTGGATTGCTCAGGCGGCGGTTGGGTGGAGAGTCCTGGGGTGCATACACCATCTCCCTCTACAAACAAAGAACATAACTGTTATTCCTGGATACATAGCACATGTCCATCGAGTACAGATCAGTACAGGGTGCTGGAAAGTTTGCCCACAAGTCAAAAGTATAATTTGGGAAGAACATCGTGGGCTTTGTTGAGCATCTATTCTTTACACTCTCATGAAAATTCAAAGGCGTGTGGGAGTTTTTGCCAACAAGTCCACAAGTGGTTGTTAAACTTGCAGAAGGCCTTTGACTGTGTGGAACCTTGGGGAATCCTTTTGGGGGTGCTTTAGGACCACTGCAAGTAAATTTACTAGTCGACTCACTCTCACCTATTGCCATGAATTGAAAGTAGTCTCTAAAAGACTAAGATCAATGATATAAGTGGTGGAAATGACCTTCCTCCAAACGAGATCTAGAATTACAGAGACAGGGTGAGGAGGTCAGCAACTCAAGAGGGGTTTAGAGTAGACCTGCTGCTTTTTTTGCATCAAAAGGAGTCATTTGAGGTTATTCACATATCTGACTAGAAGGCCTCCTTGAGGCATATCTAACTAAAAGGAGACCCCAGGGCAGACCCAGGATATACTAGAGACAATTATGTCAGTTCGTTTGCCTGAGAATGATTCAGCATCCCCCCAGATGAGCTGGAGGCAAGAAGGTCGGTCTGGGCATCTTTATTTAGACCGCTGCCTCAGTGAATCAGACCTGGATAACATTACAGTGGCAAAAATAAAGGTCAACTCTTTTGGCCTGTGTAAATCATAGCGGCTCCACTGTTTTTGTTCACAGTAAATTTTGCTAAACAAGTCAGCAACTGTGCTTTTAGATCATTAGCAAAGTCACTGAATACTAAGATGTGTCCATAATATAGGCAATGTACATTAAGTGTTTGGATAGGGCTAAGAGGGATTTGTCACGCAGCTAAACCAAATGATCTATATTCATTTTTGTTCAAGCCACATGGGAGGCTCGCCAATGTTGACTCACCAACTAAAGAAAATGGTTTATTGGTAAATGACATTATGAGATTGAAGCCATTTATCCATTCTTACCCAGTCAAAGGGAAGAGATACCACGTCACATGTTGGGAGTCTGCATGAGTGAGGTGGTGCATAGAGAGAACTCAGAGACGTGGTGTTACTGAACATGAACAGGCAAAATAGTCACAAACTCTTTGGTGGAAGTTGCTGCAATCTCACAGGTTGTTGGACAGATTGTGAGTCTGTTAACAGACTGAATCAGTGCTTTACTGATTTTATGTCCTTTCCCCATCTTATCTCTAGTCCACACTTCCAATCCCACAACAGCTGTCATGGGCCTGGAAGTGAGGTTTAAATAGAAAGTGAAACTGAGGATGGTGTCCGTCACCTAGCTGAATATCATTATAGTTACAGTATTAATAATTCGATCGAGCTCTGAGGTCTGAAACGACTTGTTCAAATCCAATAACGAGATACTTTAGAAATATCATTAAAGTAACAGTTTAAAATTTAAAGTTATACTAAAAGTGCGATTTGTGGAGGAAAAAGGAATTTGATGTTGAGCCGGGGAGATTAAAAATTTTCACATTCATGAATAATGAAACGCAGCAACCATAATGGACCTACAGGCCATGAAGACTGCTATTATATTTATTATTTATTGCTTCTGTTAGGGTAACTTCATATAATAATCATGAATTCAAACTAAACAAGTTTAGAACCTAAACTTGACTCCTGACTCTCTAATGAGATTAATCAGTTCATTCACAAAATATTCTTAATCTCGTGTTTTGCGCACAGTGGATTCAATCAAACACAACACAGAAGATTAAATGTTATTTAGCTGCTGCAAGCCAATCAAATCATGTTATAAAAGCATCCAGAGAAAGCGAGCTAGTTGTTGTGGAGTTCAGCATTAAAATGAAGAAGACTTGATGATTATAGCACGTCATCACACTGTTATTATATAAAAGACATTACATATTCTGCAGCATGTCACCTCTCTTTTATCCACATCTCTCCAAATCTCTGGACGGGAAAAGGAGGTAACCTCTTGTCTGCAATTCAGAAGTTTTTGAGGCAGTTTCCAAGCTAAAGAGATCTATTGATGGCAGGTATTAGGGTAGATTTGGAAAAGGATCACACACTGTATATGGTTTTATCTGCACCATCAGAAGAGCAGCGACTGAACGTCCAAGTCTGATTTCACTGGTGGCATTAATCACTTTGGGGAAGGGATACAATTTGTTCTCACTGTGGTTGAACACAGTTAAGGAGAGGCAGAGATTTCACAATGATACTAGAATGCTTTACCCATAACGTCTGTCAGTTTTTGACTTTTCAGAAATTCAACAATCAGCTTGACAACTAGCTATTTCTTTTAAAAAAGGGCAACTTACTGTAACAGCCAGTAGTTCATAGATGCCACTTCCTGATTGACAGGAAGGACTCTAAATTGCCCCTCTGAGTGCAGTTTAAGTTGCACTTGATGCTTTATTGACAGGCTGTGCATGAAGGGATAATCTTTTGGCATCAGACCCACAAGTCAGATTGAAAGACAAAACAAAGCGGGGAGCGGAGGGTGTGAGTAAAAGCCATGCTTTGAAGGCGACCAGACAGAAGAGTAATAGATACGGCAAAGAAGCACAAAAGAAGACGACGCTGTAATTGCTTGTGACGCACAGAGCTATCTCTCCTGGAGATGATGCAAATTGAAAAGCCAATATTTCCACATAATAACCCTCGGGTCTTTTCTAACAACACCCAGTGGACAGCCTCGCAGCACTCTGGGGCCATCATCTTCCATCTTGTATCTTAGCAACAGCCTCGTATCGACACCATCCTTTAAGTGCGCCGAAGACATGCAGACATTTCATTCCACCCCCTAAAGTCGCAAGACGCCTATCGCAGGTGCGCTCCTGAAAGCTTCATCCCACTGTGCCATTCAAAACTGCCCGTTCTCCCGCTGTGGGAAATCTACCAATCAATCTCCTCTTCATTCTGTCCTCCAGTCACACAGTCCGGCTTCAGTAATCCTCGTCATGCTTTTGTGGCCTGCAATCAGGGAGTGATCTTTGGCTATGCTGGCAAGAGTTCAATAAGCTCACACATACACACACACGTCCTCGTCCTCACCTTGACAATGCACCTCACACACATCCAGCTCAAGGTAAGCCTGCTGGTTTGATAAGACTGTAAAACGCTACGAAGATTTCAGAGCTGAAGACGGGGAACAATCCCTTGGGAACAGCTGACCTCCAGCGCATTAGCGGGCAGCTGCAAACCACGCACACAGGCAGACAGTAAACCAATCGCATGCACACACGCAAACAAAAAGCCCCAGGATGTTTCATAGACAGCAAACTGAAACACCGAAATGTGTCAGAAAACACGCCGCTGCCGACGGCACTCGCCTCACTTCAGCTGTTAAATACGTAGATTCGTTTTTCACAGCATGTGCGCTGCATATGTCTGCCTTCCTGCAATGTAATTTATCTAGTTCATCATTTGCTTTATCCTATAAAAGGAGCGTTCTCTAACACTTTAAATTGCAGATCCTCATTTCCATAATCACACTGTAATTAGGAGGCAACAAAATGCATTCGGGGTTTTGTGCTGAAAATGCCAACGCTGCGAAAAGTGAATGACATGCAAAGGTTTGCTTTGCTCCTGCTGTAACAAAATGCATGAAGCATTAGTAATCATGCTAATGAAGCAGATGCCACATTTATGTTGCCAGAAACTGATTGATGTGTTAAAATAAATCCCACTGTGGCTGCTGGACAGGAGGATGTGATTTACAGGCAGCTGATCATCAGCTCAAATAAAGATAGGTTGATAAGTACATTTTAATACACCAGTAGTTTTATAGCACAATGAAAACTGAGACCTCTCTGAGAAACCGAGGGACACTTTGGTTAATGACTTGTGATTGACCAGTCATTAACACAAACCCTAACCAAGCATCAGCCTCCTTTATTACTCAAACATTGATCAAAATCTACAAAATGAACTTCATATTTCATTACTGAATCTCAGTCTTTGTCCTGTCTTCCTCCCCTCGCTTCACCTTTCAAACCTGTAAGGTATGTTCATCTTTTATACTCTGGAAGATCTAAAAATGAGTCAAAATGAATCGCCCCAAAGAGATATCTGTGCATAAATGTTCATTATCTTTGGATAAAGGACAAGATTATTAGCATTATGCTTTCAATTTGTAGTCTAACGGCTATTAATAGTGTTTAGTGTAAAAAAAAAAAGGCTATTGTTTGGGAAGATTTTAGCTTTTTAAATCCATTAAACTTGTGGACACAACAGGAAGTGTCCCCCCAGATAACTACTGGCCACCCAGAAAGCCTTGAAAGAAAGCATCAAAAGGCCAAGCCAGCAGACTAGATGATGGGTTCCCAGACTGATCCCCTCAGAATCCCAGAAATCCCTAAATCTTGAAATGTTAACAGTTCTGACTGAATGATTGACTGACTACTGGGGAGATTTTTCCCATGTTTCCCAAAGCAGAACTTGTATTAATATTGTTATTATTTGTTTCCTAGACGTGTTTAGGTTGAAATACACTGCATTCATTTGCTCTCCTGTGGAAGCAATGCCATATTTAATCTGGCTGTAATGGTAGTTTGGCTCTCTGGTCTATTTGAACAGCATTAGCTTGCGTGTGCATATGGTGAGTCGGTGGGAACTGTTTTCATTTGAAGTTAGGGAAATAATACCTCAGCTTCAGCAATTAAAAGACTGCATCCACGAGTCAGTCCTCAGACGAACTGGAGTACGAGTGTCATCTCAGGGAAGTGTTTCTGCAGTTTTGCAGTCTGCTGGCATGCAGCCCACTCAGCACGGGAGATGTGAAAGACTGGCGCTCGTCCAGGCTCAGTGTTGGGAAAAAGTCACATGACTCACTCTCGACGAGTGAATGAAACTAACTTAAGCCTGAACACATTGTGTGATGCAAACTAGCATGTGTAAAGAGATATAAAATCAGTGTTTCATGGGAGATTGATGTGGGCGTGAGGGTATATGAATAAGAGTTTTCAAAGGGAATTATGAAACATTATTTATGACGGGACTGCACAGAGTGTGAGTCTGCAATGAAGAAAAGGGATCATCTTCTGCCCTTACTTTGCATTTTGGTAAAACACTTAAACAGAGAACTGATTATTAAAGTAGGATACTGTATTTCTAAAGACGTTTAAAGGCAAATTTCCAAACTCCACATTTCTTTTGGTTTAGGGCTTTGTTCAACCTCCTGGTCTACTGGTGTTTTGCAATTTTAAATAGCAGAAATATTCTCTACCCATGAATGTTTATCATATTTCTAACCCTAAAGGGAAGCAGAAAATCCAGCATTAAAAATCTCCTCATCTAAATGAACAATAAATAATAAAAATACTAGCGGCCACATGGTAGAAACACTTATGCTATCCGCTATCAACTTCAAAATTTTACAACACCTCGCCAGACCCAAAGTGATCCAAGATTTTTAGTAGGTACACCGATGATATGAATATGAAACTCTGATGTCGCCTCGTTCTTGAGTTATCGCCTTCACAAACTTGGGTGTCCACGCTGCCCACCCGGCCTCTCACCTGGCGGCTTAAAAACAGCTGAGGAGTAAAAAACATGAGTGTTTGACCTTGGCGAAGTTTATTCTTTTAGTTCTGTAGACACACGCTGTCCTCACGGCCAGAGAGAAGGAGAAAAATGGGAGAAGCTGTTCATGAATGCACCTGTAGCGTTTAACCCTCTTTCTCTGTGTTTTGAACACCAAGGCTTATTTGTCTCTTTCCTCCAGGCGTTTGTGTGCACGCAGACTCACACTTACCCGCAGGTCTCCGTTTGCCAGGTGTGGGTTGTGATGTCCAGGGTAGGTGCTGTAGATGGGCTCTTTGCAGTAAATCTTAATTACGCAGCGGTCCTGAACGTCCCGTGGGTCCTCCAGCTCATAGAAGACATTACGGGTCTCATCTTTAATCAACAGAGCCGTGCTGGGAGACCTGAATATCAATAGTTGTCAACGCACACACAAACAAAAGATGCAAACACTGATAAACAGTCCATGCAAAGACAATTTCAGCATCTGTTACAGGATTTCTAACTGCATGAGGTGCTCGTAATGAGAGAATCAGCTGGAAGCGGACTGATATTAGGTTAATCAGAAATCTAATGTTCAGTGTTTAAAGGTAAAAAAGTGCTGTGGATAACTAACATGGGAGATTCTAGAGAGAAACGAAAATTTAGAACTTAATGAAAATGATTATTGATGTTTTTGACCCAGTTCTTTGTCCTGAACGCACACGTGTTCAAAAACATATTGCAGCTAAGAT